CCCGCCCACCCCGGCCGCCCCCTGCGGCTTCAGCTCCTCCCTCTGCTTCAGCGCCAGCGCCGCCGAGCCGCAGCCGCCCGCCGGCGGTGGCCGGGTGGTGGTGGAGAGCCAGTGGGAGATCAACAACGCCGCCTGCCAGCCGGAGGAAGAGGAGGGAGAGGAGGCGGCGGGGACGCGGGAGCGGCCGGCGGAGGAGCCCGACCTGGTGATCGAGGTGTCCGGGCGCCGCATCCGGGCGCACAAGTCGGTGCTGGCGGCCAAGAGCGACTACTTTCGCGCCCGCGCCTCGCGGGACGTCCTGCGGGTGAAGGGGGTGAGCTACGGGGCCCTGCGCCTCCTCATCGACTACGTGTACACGGCCCGCATGGGCGAGGTGCGGCACGACAACCTGGCCGAGGTGGTGAGCGGCGCCCGTGTCCTCCAGATGCCCTGCGCCCTGCACTGTGCCGCCGAGGCCATGCGCGCCCAGCTCCGCCTCGACAACTGCTACCAGCTCCTCTGCCTGGCCAAGAAGCAGCGGCTGGCGGAGCTGCGGGAGGCCGCCTACCGCTTCATGAGCGACCACTACCTGGAGGTGCTGCGGGAGCCCGGTGTCTACGGCCGCCTCAGTGGCACCGAGCGGGACCTCATCCTGCAGCGGCGCATGGAGGCCGGCCGGCCCTGCCTGCTGGTGGCTGAGGTCAGCGATGCCTTCGAGCGGCCGGGCGGCGGCAGCCGGCCACAGAGCCGTGAGAGCAGCCGGCCGCAGAGCCCCTCCTCCGTGGTGTCGCTGGAGGAGAGCGGCTCCCTCATCCACTGCTACCACGAGTCCAGCGGTGAGTGGAGGGTGCTGACGCGCCTGCCTGAGGAGGCCAACGCCAAGGGCTGTGCCATGTGCGTCCTCCACAACTACCTCTTCCTGGCAGGGGGTATTGCGGCAGGGCCGGCGGGCAGCGAGCCCCGGGCGCGTCTCTCCGACAAGGTCTTCTGTTACAACCCTCTCACCGACACCTGGAGCCAGGTGCGGCCACTGGCTCAGCCCCGCTCGCAGCTCAAGCTGCTGGCCCTGGATGGTTACCTCTACGCCGTGGGGGGCGAGTGCCTCTTCACTGTGGAGAGGTATGACCCGCGAGCTGACCGCTGGAGCCCCGTGGCACCCCTGCCCAAGGGTGCCTTTGCTGTGGCTCACGAGGCCACCACCTGCAACGGGGAGATCTATGTGTCGGGGGGCTCCCTCTTCTACCGCCTGCTCAAGTATGACCCCAAGCGTGACGAGTGGCAGGAATGTCCCTACAACAGCAGCCGACGGCGCTCTGCTGACATGGTGGCCTTCAAGAGCTTCATCTACCGCTTTGACGTGAGCAGTGGCCGTGGTGGGGAACAGGGCCCGGGCGGCGGGACTGCTGGTGGTGTTGAAGTTTTCCGGTACAACACAGTGGCCAAGCGCTGGAGCCAGTGTGCCAGCCTGCGGCCCAGCGGCGGCCCCGTCCAGCCCTTCCGCTGTGCCCCCTTGGGCAACACCATCTACTGCGTCAACCGGACCGGCACCCTCCGCTTCAGCCTAGCCCAGGATGGGGAGGTGGAAGCGGATGGCGGGCTCAAGGGCACCTTTGATGGGGAGCTTCTTAAAGCTCCCTTGGATGTCAGGGGTGTGCTCCTACCCTTCGTGCTCACCCTGCCCGAGAGGCTGGACAAAGCAGGGGACCAGGAGGGCTCCCTCCCGCTGTGAGGTGGCCAGCCTGGCTCTGGCTTCCCGAGTGGGGAGCTGGATTGCAGTTCTGGGGGACCCACAAACTACCCCCTACAGAGGGGAGCTTCTCTGGCGTGTCTGCACAGAGAAGGGGCTCTCCCTTTCCTCTCTGCTCCCAAGATGTTGAGCTGGAGCCACTTGGTTGTAACTCTTCTGGTGTTTGCTGTGCTTTGTGTGAAAAGCCAAGCACACGAAAGGAAAAGCTGCTATAAAGGATAATCTCTGGATTATGTTTGTGCCAATTCCTAATCTGAGAAAAACTTTTTTACACCTGAATTTTAAAAAATTCCTGATAACAGTGTCATAATTGGACGTTACTGTTAAGTGTTGGTCGCGTGTTTACACGTAGTCACAATCTGGGCTGGAGCCTTTTCTGCCATTTGTTTTCTTTCTCTCTGGGATGATACGAGGGATAAACACTGCTGGCAACGTAGCACTTGGTTTTACGTTAATTCAACTATTGCCTGTGTTAGAAAAGCATGGAAGAACAATCTCCATCACAGCCTTTCATTTCTGGTGTAATAGATGGCTCAAGGAAGACATGGCACTGTGTGGTCCCAGGAATTTCAGTTACAGTGAATGGTGTAACAGATACCAGTTTTGCTTAAAGTTTTAAGCAACACAAATGTGTGCCACATGTTCGGATTTGGAATACAAAAAAAAAAAAAGGGCAAGCTACCTTTTTAAAGTGTGGCATATTATAGCAGATATGAAATGTTGTTACATTTTTTATCTGAAACAGGCAATGGTTTCTGTATGAAAAGACATGGTTTTATTACCTTTTTATCAGAGATTTTAAATTATAACAAAAATGAACTGAAGCTGTTCAAACTGCAACCGATTGACATGACCATGTATGCCACTAGAGGTGGGGGAAATATTTTGTACTTCAGCTGCTCTTTAATTAACTGCAGGTCAAGGAGAATTAACCTAAACCAAATGTAAATTCCTTGAAACTGCCTGCAGACGGCTTAAATGTTTCACTGTATGTTCAGTATCCTGTGGCAAGAGGCTTTTCCAACTTAGTGCGAGACCATCAAAGGAGGATGTGGAAAATAGGAATGTGCTACAGATGTTGATTGTATTGTGCACTAGCATGATGTTATTTCCCTATCTTTTGATTGAGAGACTGCTTTATTTATTTCGATCTAACGATTGCTGTAATCAATAAGTCCTTGTTAATTGCAGTACGTGCTGATGGCGTGTGCTGTCATTGGGATTCTGAACCGCCCGAGGGCACTGTTTGTGGAGCAGCATCCTAAAGAGGCAAAACCCTACAAAGCTTCTTCCCGCCTGTGGAAAGTTGGAGCATTCTTTTTGTCATGTTACTCCAAACTGGAAAAGTGTAAACCATCTACGCAGACAGACTGTATTGAAAAGGGCACATGCATTTATTTTATACGTTTTATATAAAAGAATCAATAGGCAGTGGAAATGTTTTAGCTTTATGGTAAATCACTGAGAAACCTTTTCTGAAAAAAACCACCAGTGTTTTTGCTGTTGTTAATTCAGCCTGGAACTGGCATGGACTGTGTAAGGGATTTGTTTATACTCAAAGCTCTAGTATAGATTCATATTTTAGAAAGACATAGGGACCTTACATCAAAGAAAGCAGATCTTTTTATGTTTTATTAAGATGTTTCTGTTAAACAGGACATTAGCATTCTTATATGTTATTCATAGTTCCAAAGGAAGGCAGCAGGCTCTGTCCTAAGAGACACCATCTTCATAAAATAGAATAGTGAAGTTTATAGATACTTCTTTCCTTCACTTTCATGTTTTTTATTTTTCCTTTTCTCCATCTGTCTTGCACAGGGTTTTAATGCAGCTGATCTGGTTAGCCATCCTGTAGAAAACAGTGGTCCAGTCCTAAAAGTTCTTAGCCAAAAAAAGCCTGTTCCCTAGTGAGCTAATTAAAGCATCAGCCAAGTAGGAGCTGTAGCCTGTAGAGCGTGATGCTTATCTTAGCCTCAGTTCAGGTTGGTGCAGTGGAATTTAATACCACAGATGGCATATTCTTTGGTGATTCACAAACAAACCAACTTTATTTTTCACTGAATGATGAACTTAATTCTCAGACAAGAATCCTTGGAAATGTTGAGTCTAAATTAAATTACAGCATTGTAGCTTGAGCAGGGAAGAGAAATTGTGTGTGTGCCTTCAGCAGCATTTTTATGTTAACTGTAGAAAGTATTTCAAGCACACTTAGGTGCATACTTTAACTGAAGACTTAAGCATTAGGCCAGATTTTGAATTAGTAGAATCACCAGGAGCACACAAGGAAACATGTTTTATTTTGCAATACAATATGATTTCATAGTACAAAATACTATGTAGTATAGTTCTTATACTACAGCATAGGGAGGAATCAAGTGAGCTTTTGCATTCCTATTCATTAAGCATTAATTAAGCATTTTCATTCCTGCTAAGCATGAAAGTGCTTCTAAATGAGTTTTGAGAAGTCTCCTTGATTTAAGCAGCAAAAATATGCCACAGGCTTTTGGGAAAGAGTGAAACATATCCTTTCTTCTGATATATGTTGCTGTATACCATGAAGAAATACATTTGGAAATAATCTTTGCAGTAATAAGCGTTCTACAAACCTGCAGCGGTTTGTGTTTTCGCTGGCTCCTATTGTTAAAAAAGGTTGAATCAAGCACTTACCGGCTTTCACTGTCGACACAGCCTAAGTGAGGGCAGAGTCTGGTCTTCATTAGTAGCTGTCTGTCAAACCTGTTTCCTTTGTAGGCTCTTTGCATAATCACAGCCTGATGACTTGACAGCAGAGGCCCCTTTCCAGCCACATTTCCTACTCCCTGGCCTCTGTTTCCTCCCTGGTAAGCCTGAGGCGCCTTTGCTGAGGGTTGTTTTTTTTCCCCCAGTTATGTCTTCAGCCTATCAAAAAAAACCCCCACCAAATTGGGTACTAAAACTGGAATTTAGGTAGACTTCAGGCGCTTGAAGACCAAAATTGTCATCCTAGAACTCGCTAGTTTCACTGAAACTGAGCAACAACTGTCCCTTTGGGGAGAGTTCCCCTTCAGCACTGCTCGCCTGGGAGCAGTTGGGCACCCACCGAGCTATTGCCTCAACTGCTTGCAACCTGGATGATGCGATACCCAGAAGCCACTGGTGTAATGGGGCTTTATGGTACAAACTAAAGGGCCAGGCCACCCTCAAGTTGTGTTTTGCATATGTTTTGCTTTTAAAACAGCTATTTTATCTACTAGCCTGACGGCTACGGTATTTGCATGGGAGCATGGAGATACGTGCTTGCTTTCTTAGCCTGCAAGGATTCAGTCCACATCTCCCACTGCCTGATTGGCAGCAGATTGAAGGACCTCTTGGAGCTAATCCCTGACCTCTAGATATATATGCATTTTGTATTATACATTAATTGGCTAAAAATCTCAGAAATTATCCAGGTAGGTGAATTCAAGCCCTTGTCTTCCCTGAGTGGTGTGAGACTAGCTGGAGGGGTATAGTCCTCTCTGCTGTCTTTCTTCTTCATGAATCTCACAGTCCCCTTCTCCCACTTTTAATGGGACATGCAGGAAATAATTTTTCTGCTTCTTCTGTTTTCAAGGTCATCTGCCAGAGGACATAGGCTTGAATTCCCTTAAGCTGACTAAGGACTGGACTCAGGCTTCCCAGTTCATGTGTGTGTGTTCTTAAATCCAGATGATTGTTTAGAAGAAGAGTATAGGGACCACCTCCTGCAGCTCTTTTTCAGGGATGAACCTCATGCCAATCCTCCAAAAGCACACATAGGTTCCTGCACGCCGAGTTCTGGGTAGATTCCATGCTCCAGCTTCTGGATGGGTAGTTGAGGACCCATTTAGTTAGTGCCATTGGGCAAGTTTTCTTCTGTGGAAAGCTTTTCCAGAGACAGGCTCTGTATTCTGGGTTGCTGGTCCGAGGTGAGGGACTCCAAGCACTGTACTGGGAGGCCAAGCAGGCAATTTGGATTCTTCTCAGGGGTGACGCCTTGGTAAAGAGGCATTGCAGTGCCTAACGTGGAAATGCCTGAAGCCTTCATTGCATCTAAAACTAAATCCCTGCTTGAATAAAGAAACAAACCTTCTTAGCAAATGCTAATAACAGATGGGAATTTGCTATTTCCATCTATTAACTGGGTCCATAAAAAGAAGTCTTAATTGCAGCAAAGGCATTTGTACAAATTCTGTTTACACTTGGAAACTAAGTCAAAGGAATAATTGGCAAAAGAATAACCCTATTTGATCAAAACAGGCGCTGTTAAGCAACATGGGAAGGATGCTAATCATACCCTATTAATGAATAAAATTGTGCAGTAGCTGATGTAAATTCTGTCCACACACACGAAAAAAAAATTCTTTGTAAATAAGTACCTGGTAAAATTTAAAGTGATAAAAGAATAAATTATTCACATGAAAGCTGTAACTCTCCTGTGCTGTTTGACTGGCTCTCAGAGTGTTGTACCCTGGTTATCGCTATTCATGAGCGGCTGTTCCTCCTCCTGCGCTGTGGTATCCATCCCATTGCCTGCTCCCTAGAGGTGTTACCCCTCCTTGTCACAGAGCTTAGCGGTGCTGCTGGGGGGATTGTCTTTGTGTCTGCACTGACGCGGAGTGCTTTCTACTTGAATGAACCCAGAAGATTTGGGCTGAATTGTATCTTTGGGCTTTTTTATTCTTTTCTTTCTTTTTTTTCAGCGGCACTGCTCCTGGGAAACTTAAGCAAGCCCAAGGAAGGGAAATGGTGGTGCCATTGAGCAGTTGTGGTAACAAGCATTTAATTAATTTCTTTTTCTGTCTGCCATTATTCCGTGCACCAGATTCGCACTGAATTTAACAGAACATCTCTGTGTAGCTATTAGCAGTATGAGCCCAAGTACTGTTGTAGCGAAGTATGTTTTTATTTAAGCATATTTTCTGCATCAGCTCCTACTCTGAGATGATTTAGTGCAAGTTTGTAATAGTTCCGCACGTTTAGATTATTTGAACTGTTCTGGCTTTAACATTACTGCTACTAAAAGCAGAGATTGACACACAAGCTCAGTAAAGTTGCGCACTCAGTAATCACACACTTTTCCTTTGTTTTGGCCCACTGAATGCTGTAGTAAGAGCTGCTGGAATGATCCCATCGGTGTTAGGGAGCAGCAGGCTACTTTGGAGGCTCTCTAACTTTCATCAGTTACCCAACGGGAAGAAATGGGAGCGTGGGGCATAGGGATAGGAGAGAAGAGAAGAATTAGGAGTCAAAAATGCCTACTTTAGTTGAAACAAACAAGTAGTGGGGAAGGGAAACCAGAGCTGGTACTTGAGACAGTGGTGACTCCAGGACTTTTTTTTTTTCAAGTATTTCTTCAACAGCCTGAGTTTTTAAACAGCCCGATTATGTTGTTAGTCTTATCGTTTTGCACCTGCAATACATCTCAAACAACTGCAGTGGTTAATAAGCTACTTTTCTGCAGGATTCTTGTGCTTTGCTTTTAAGTCTTAGTGGATAAATCTTGGACAAATTTGTGGAGTCATGAAATAACAATGTTGATGCTGCCAACTACAACTAATGCAAATGCTTTAGACACTGTTCACAATTCAGGTGAATTATATGTGTAACTGATGTATTAACAGTTTCATTTTTGAAGTATATATAGGTAAAGCTTTTTATGTACTCCAACTTATGCTGTAATGAAATAAATACATACAAAAAGCTTATGCTCCCCCTCAGGGATTTCTCGGTAATTGGTGTTTTTTCTTTGTCATCCATCCAATGAGTAAAACAGTGTTATATTTGTCCTTATCATAAAGACAAAATTATATGGATTATTACAAAGAGGAAATGTTTAGGAAATGTTTTTAAGCCTAAGAAAAAATCGAATATTTTCATTTCACAGTGCCCTGGGTATTGGGAGCATGAAACATTCTGCAGTGAAAGCACTTGCCCAAGTACAGATTAGCATAAGCTCCGGTTCAGTTAATTTTTATTTCATTTTCTTTTCCTTGTCAGTATGTTAAAGTACGTTATTTATTTATAAAAGTTACATGTAAGCTTTCCCAGGATACTCCCCTGTCTCGTGTCACACGCCCGGTTTTTGGCTGGAGTGGATTTGCAGTAGTGTAAGTAAAAACAGCATCAAACACAACCTCAATTTCGTAGTTTGCCTCCTCTTTATTTTCTCATCAGATGGTTTGCTTGGGATGAAGTTGTGTGACCTCTTTAAAAGCTCTGAGATTCATAGAGGCACTGGGTGGGGTTGGACTTGGTGTCATTTCCATTATTTCCTGAACTGCTCCAACATGCAAGCTCTACCTATTCCAGCTTTATCAACGTTTTCTTCAGAACAGCCAAATTCTGCTGCTGGGGTAAATCTGGAATAACTCGGAGGTTTGGTAAACCTTTTAGGTGCCAGAAAACTTGTCCTGTTCAGCCCCAGAGTTTTGAGTTTGTCATTTACTAGGGACCTTCGCTGGAAAAGAGAGAGAGAAGCTCTGATGGAGTAAGACTCAGGCAATCTCTAACTTGAATGTGTAGTTATTTTGACTTCGCTACAACATAAATTCCTCAGCTCTTGTCGCTTTGGCCTGTGCTGTGAACTAGACATCAGGAAGCTCCGTGCCCATGGAATTTTATCTGGAGTGTATACTCCTGTGTGGTTCCTGGAACGTGCTGCACCTGTGGATCTCAGGATGCCCAGGTTCCCCCCCCCTACCCCAGCTCAAGCCTCAGGTGTGTCCATGGTCCGGTAAACGATGTGGCTGCGTCCAGTAATTTGTGCCACGTCACGAGATTAATTCCCTGGTTCTGAAACACCAAAACCACCAGCTCTAGCACAAGGGATTGGGGCTTCACAGCCCTCGTGATGCGGGTGCAGAGGATCCCCTGTTATTGTCTGTTCCCAGGTTACGATGCAGATCTTTAGCATCACCTGTGTCCACCTATTGGACCTCAGAAATCACAAACAACAGCGTCATCGAACATGAGCTTTCAACCTATGGACCCGTACCCATCGTGGGGGTTTGGGGATGAAGACAACCCCGATTAGTAACTAGTAGTACTGGGACCCTGCCAAGAGACAAACCCCAGTCAGAACCGAAGAGAGAGTGTTCATCCCCTAAAAACCATGTGGCTAAAGGTAGGTCAGGGGAGCGATGGGCATTCACTGCTCAGGTGCGGCAGCACCTGCATGACGTAAAGGGTGAAGAACAGCTGAACCTCGTGAGCACCACCTGGAGCAGCTCTCAGTCTGTGGAAGGCAGGGAGTGTGGCCCTGATGTAGTGGTGGCACCTCCCTGGCAGGTCACTCCAGCAGCGGGAGAGAGGAGCAGAAGGAGTGTCCTCTGGATGCCAGCTGTCCCGAGGGGAAGCCCTTGGGAAGGGTAGAGGGAACAGTTACTGCTGTGTCCTTCGTCGCTGTGCTCTCTGAGTGTCCTGGTGGCACCAGTTCTGGATGGATTCCCCCATGAGCAGCTTGTGCATGGAGAGTTTTGAAGGTGAATTCTTTTTCTCCACCTCCTTTTTCTTTTTTTTTCATTTGTTTTTGTTGGGGTTTTTTTTGCTATTTTTCCCTTTTTTCTTTCTCATTTCTCATTTCTCAAGTCTTATGAGGAGAGGCTGAGGGAGCTGGGGTTGTTCAGCCTGGAAAAAAGGAGGCTGAGGGGAGATCTTATTGCTCTCTACAACTACCTGAAAGGAGGGTATAGAGAGGTGGGGGTCGGTCTCTTTTCTCAAGTCACAGGCGACAGGACGAGAGGAAATGGCCTCAAGTTACGCCAGGGGAGGTTCAGGCTGGATATTAGGAAAAATTTTTTCCCTGAAAGGGTTATCAGACATTGGAATGGGCTGCCCAGGGAGGTGGTTGAGGCACCATCCCTGGAGGTGTTCAAAAGACAGGTTGATGTAGTGCTGGGAGGTATGGTTTAGTGATGGTGATGCTTCTTGTTTGTTGTGTGGGTGTCTATTTTTGTCAGTTAGGTTGGTGGTTGGGCAAGATGATCTTTAAGGTCCCTTCCAACCTAGAAGATTCTGTGATTTCATCCTTTCTTTTCCACCCCCTCTCTTTTCCCCTTCTACTTTCCTCCTTTTTTGTTTTGTTTTTTTTTTTTTTTTTTTTCAGGTTGCACATATTTCTCTCTCTGCTTAATTATTCCAATAGGTCATACAGGGGGTCTGTGAATTTGGAAGACTTACTTATTGGAAACCAATGAAACTCCTTTTCCTTTGTCTCGGGATGCAGGCTGTCCTTCCCTAACCTGCTAATTTGTTCCCTTCACAAAGCCCTAAGTGTCTAGATAAAGCAGGGAAGAGTTAATCCATCCATTTCTTGGCAGAATGGTACAATAAACCACGCGCTGTTTGCTTCCTAAGGTGATAAAGGTGTGAGCAATTAAATTAGTCATAATATAGACTTAAGGCAAGAGTTGTGTACCCTTTTTTAAGCTTACATGTGCTTTTAGTCACTCCAGGCTGCGGCTACAGGGAAAAATAACTGCAGGATTAAAGTACTGAGCAGGTAGGAGGGCTCCAAGGAATGAAGCAAGAGCACAAACCGCTGCAGAATTAAGTTAATTCCCACACCATTTAGAAACCATTATCTCAGTGGCCAGGGCCCCATTTATTGACAGCTTGTTAGTGCATTACAGATGAAGGGTTGGGTTTGGGTTTTTTTTTTTTTTTCATTCCCTCTGCTGCGTAGTAGTTCTTTGCACATGTGAAAAATCACTGCAGAGTTTGTGAACAGAAAATTTTACCAATTTTCACCCGTTCTGCATGGGCAAATGAATCTTTCAGCTGCAGGGGTGGATTATATGTCTCTCCAATGTTTTTCTAATTAAAGAAAATGCTGCATCTTGATTAGAATCAGAGAAATAAAAGCTGAGATTAATAATAATTTTAGGAATGCAAGTAAGAGAATCATTTTTTTGCCGTCATTGTCAGTCTCTTTTGAGATCATAATGAAGTTCTAAGCAGGCAGAAATTCTTCTTAAAAATATGATTTAAACCATTAGGAAAACTCGAAATCCTGCAGATCCATGAGAGGTCTCCTGAGCTGGGAGCAATGCTGTGTGGGAACTTCCCCAGGCTAATGAAGAGAACCTGAACCCCTTTCCTCGGCGTTCTCACTCTAGTTTTGTGCTCCTACCTATCTTTTGAAAGCAAATACTGATTCCCACTGTGTGATTTGGTAAGATAGCTCCGTGATGCAGTGCTCTGTCACCCTGTCCTAAAACAAAACAAAGTGTCAAAATACTAATGGAAAAGTTTGAGAGAATCACCTTAGTTAATCAGCAACTTGCTTTGTATCTCCTGGTTAAGCACTGCTTCAATTAACTAAGTGTTATTTGAATGTAGATTCTGGCTATGTTGAACTCTGGTTTGCCATTGACGGAGTTGGAGAATGAAGGTATGAGGTTGTATCAGTGAAAGGTTGTGTCCAGTTTTGGGCCCCTTACCACAAAAAAGACATTGAGGTGCTGGAGCAGGTCTAGAGAAGGGCAAAGAAGCTGGTGAGGGATCTGGAGAGTAACTCTTACGAGAGGCTGAGGGAGCTGGGGGTGTTCAGTCTGGAGAAGAGGAGGCTGAGGGGAGACCTCATTGCGCTCTATAACTACCTGAAGGGAGGGTGTAGAGAAGTGGGGGTTGGTCTTGTCTCCCAGGTCAGAGGAGATAGGACAAGGGGAAATGGCCTCAAGTTGCGCCAGGGGAGGTTTAGGTTGGATATTAAGAACTATTTATTCACAGAAAGGGTTATCAAGCATTGGAATTGGCTGCCCAGGGAAGTGGTTGAGGCACCATCCCTGTGGTCAAAAGATGGGTTGATGTGGTCCTGTGGAATATTGTTTAGAAATTTTTATTTCCTATTTATTAGTCATTTTTTTGTCAGAAGGAGGTTGATGGTTGGACTAGATGATCTTGAAGGTCCCTTCCAACACAGACGATTCTATGATTCTATGACAGTGTGTATTGATATATGTATTATTTGTTTGAAAAGCCTAGTCTGTCCAAGCACGTGCTGTCTCTACTGACTGACGCACTAATGGCGAGGAGCGCAGCCGGCCATTGAACTCCACATCCTCACTGTCATTGCTACGTTAGGCTTTTCAATGGCTTTCAGACAGCACCTGGAGAGACATGGGGAGCAGAAGTCATTCTGGCTCCCGTGGCTCTCCTGACCAGACTGCCTGGCTCAGTGCCCGCGGAAAGGAGCCGAGCTGTGTATTCCCTCACCCCGGAGCCAGAGGGGAGCAGCGGCTCGGTTCTTGCTCCTCTGCAGGTCTCCGGGGAGAGCGCAGTTCCAGGCTTCCTCTCTCTCAAATTACAAGGTTGCCCTTCGTTCTTGAGAACCGAGAAAATAGCTCAGCTTGCATGTGGTGAAAGAGAACTTGTAAAAGAAGTTATTTTTGAAGGGGCAGTGAAAAAAATAAAATAAAATCAGTGTTTGCATTGGCTACTCTTGATGTTGCTACTGTATTTGAAGCAGCTGGAACGTACTGTGGGTTTCCTCATCGGTCCCAGGGCTTCCTCAGGCGCAGTTTAAATGCAATAGGTTCACTTTTTTTTTTTTTTTTTTT